AGCAATTTTAAAGCTTAAGACTTAAAATTTTAGAAAGTTCTAAGACTAAAACATTTTTTGACTCTTATTTTTTAAGAAACTTTAAGCTTATCTTTAAGTTTTTTTTTATTTTTAAAGATCTTCACTTTGATTTTTTCTAGAAAAAAAAACAGAAATTTTTGGGATTTAGCAATTTTTGTTTCAAAATTCTCAATATCTTTGTCAAACAACGACGACAATTTAATTGTTTATTGTTTTTTTTCCAATGCTTGGGGTCAATCACCAACAAGATTACGAATAGTACAAAAACTAAAAAATCACCAAAAAAGAATTTATTCACAACTACATTGATTTGTTGAAAAACTGTATTGTTATTTAAATAAAAGTTAGTTATTTACATTTCGTTTTATTACATATTTGCTGTTGTATTTGAATTTATTTGCGGTCGATTTCCAAGTTGGTCCAGATCTGAATGCTTTGACGGGTTGTTGCGGCTTGGTCCTCATCTTTAATAACCACAAGAAGCGCACTAAATTTAATCAGTCCAGTTTACTTTCGAGCGAGTTGAGATGTTTATCTAAAGTTGCGATCTTGTGAAAGACGAGAGGACATTCAATTTGGTAACTTCCAGTTGCAGTAACAAATTTGTGTAACATCAGAGAAACTTAAATGAAATCAAAATGCAAACATCAATTGATCAAATTAAAATTTTTGTTATTTTGGTTGGCAGCTTTTGGCAGTTTGTGTGCAAATTCGAAATCTGAAATTTCATCAAGAGTAGTCCCGCGGCATGTCATCCTGTCGCTTTGATCCATTTATTTCCTGCCTTTCACATCCACTAATTAAACTAAACATTAAATGCAACAGCAGCGATCAACTTAATGAAACACAATAATTAACGAAATTTTACGAAAAATCGACACAAAAACACAAGTCAAGGTCGAGTTTTGTCACAACTAACGAACCTTTGGTCGTCCTAAATCCCTGGTTAATTGCCCTGGTGGTTCTTATAGCCGCTCGATAAATCCTCCAGTAGAAGAACAACATGACAAACATCGGTATGTAAAAGCTACCAAGGGCTGAATACACAACATACCCTGCCTCGTTAGTCAGTTCGCACTTCCACGGACAACGCCTTTCAGTCTGAAATAAATTTCAACAAATCAATTTCTATTTTTAAACCAACCCCAAATGTGACATTTTGTACATTATTCAACTGCACATCAATAATTTAAAATTTTAGCACAGATTTGCATTAAACATTAAGGGTCGTGTCAATTTCAATTAACAAAAAATTGGACTCTAAAAGAGTAATTCCATGCCAAAACGATCAATTTTAAAACTCATTGTTTCTGGTTTTCGTAAATTTGAAATATGTCATAGAACGCGGGAAAATAAGTGATACGTATTCCACCATTTTTTTTTTTAATGTATCTTGAAAAAACATGGATGTAAAATTAAGTATCTCAGAGCAAAAAGAATTTTTATCTAAGAACAAATCAACATATTGAAACGACTTTTTTTTTAAATAATAGATATAAGTAGCTACACTACGGACGTAATAATACATGTATTCTAAAAATTTGTTATTAACAAATAATTTAAAAATATATTGTTTAAACAAAAAATAAACAATTAAACAGGTTTTTAAGATTCCCAAATGTTAAAACTTTCATATTTTTACTATGTCTTCACATAAGTTTCAAAACGGACGTTTTATACATGTCTGAAAAAAAATTTTTTTGAAAGCGTTGCATAGTGCCCTATTATTAACTTATTAACATTTATTTTTCAAAAAAACCGTCATTCAAAATTGTGATATTTTTTTATAAAATTTTGCACTTTTTTTAAAGTGAATATCTCAAATTTTTTTCTTCTCTTGTTTACTTCTCAAGATTTTAACATTCCTCAAGCTATTCACCACTATTCGAGATTTTAAACTCTTTACAAAATTTGAATTTACAAAATTATGTGTTCACCTCACATCTTGAGTTTTTTACACCCAAAAATCTAATATTACGAGACTTTATCACCGTCACTCAATATTTGATGAATTTTTTTTGAAATCTTGACATTTTTCAAGATCTCTACGTTAGCAATTTTTTCAAAATTTTACTTTTCATATTTAAAATTTACTTTTTTTTCTGAAATTTCTTCAAAATTCTGAAGTTTTTTTTTGAAGATTTCTACATTTGAAATTTATATTCTACTTTTTGGGCTTCTCTGTAAAAAGCTGTTGAAATTTTTATTTAAAATCTCATCTTGATTATTTCACACGATATTTATGTTTTCAAAACTCCCATATCCTAAATTTCTCACTGTTTCTCAAGTTTTTCATCACTTTTCAAGGTCATTAAGACAAAATGTTTTATTCGCTCTTTTAAAGATTCTACATTTTGTAAGTTTTGAAGAAAAATTTTTGTCATTCAAAATTGTGATATTTTTTTATAAAATTTTGCACTTTTTTTTAAAGAAGAACATCCTTTTGGATGTTCCTTGAATATCTCAAATTTTTTTCTTCTCTTGTTTACTTCTCAAGATTTTAACATTCCTCAAACTATTCAACACTATTCGAGATTTTAAACTTTATACAAAATTATGTGTTCACCTCACATCTTGAATTTTTTACACCCAAAAATCTAATATTACGAGATTTTATCACCGTCACTCAATATTTGATGAATTTTTTTTGAAATCTTGACTTTTTTCAAGATCTATACGTTAGCAATTATCAGATTTTTTCAAAATTTTACTTTTCAAATTTAAAATTTTCTTCTGAAATTTGTTCAAATTTGTGAAGTTTTTTTTTGAAGATTACATTTGAAATTTATATTCTACTTTTTGAGCTTCTCTTTAAAAAGCTGTTGAAATTTTAACTCCTATATCCTAAATTCCTCACTGTTTCTCAAGTTTTCCATCACTTTTCAAGATCTTTAACATATTTAACATATATTTATTCGCCCTTTTAAAGATTCTACATTTTGTAAGTTTTGAAGAAAAAATTATGTCAAAATATTTAATCATATCTTAAGGTTTTTATTATAATTTTATAATAACTTATTAGCATTTATTTTTCAAAAAATATCAATAATAAATACAAATTCCTCGGTTAATCTAATTTTTTTTAATTCTATTTTCTGATATTACATGCCCTGTCACGTTGGTCCGGGAATTTTGACACACTCTGTATAGCAAAACGTAACATGTGAAATATTTACTCAACCAAAGAATTTGTTTTTATTATTGATATTTTTTGAAAAATAAATGCTAATAAGTTATTAGAAATTATGTGTTTTCTTTAGAACAGTTTATTAGTACGGTAATTGGTAATTTTTTTATTTAATTTCCAAGGAAACGCTACTTTCAGGCGATCTTAAACGATCTCACAAAAAAAATTTCAGCCATTTTTAAAACGTTCGTCTTAAAACTTATATGAAGACATAGTAAAAATGTGAGAGTTTTTACATAAATTTATAACAATATATTTTTAAAATATTTGTTAATAAAAAAAATTTATAATACATGTATTATCACGTCCGTAATGTACCTATTTATATCTATTATTAAAAAAAAATCGTTTCAATATGTTGATTATTTTTGCTCCGAGATACTTAATTTTGTACATCCCAGTTTTTTCAACATACATTGAAAAAATAAAAAACAGTGGAATACGTGTCACTTATTTTTACACATTCTATAACATATCACAAATTTACGAAAATCAGAAACAATGAGTTTGGCATGGCATTACTCAAAACTGTCTAAATTATAATCAACAAAGTTTATTAAATTTTTTCGTCTCGAGCAAAATTTAACGCACAATAAATCTCCAAGTTTAGCTACTGAAAATAATGTGCAAATAGACTTTTTCATGTGTCGAAAAACTTGACATAAAAGCTCGAACTAATAAAGCCTCCGTGTTCTGAATTAAATCAAAAGCTCATTTTTTCTGACTTTCTTGCACAAGAATCATCCCGGGAGGAGAGTCATAAATAATTGTTGTTCTTGAAATCGATGCAAAAAGCTTCCATATTCACAATAAAATGCAATTACAAAAGCTCTCTCGTTGGAAATCGAAACTGCGGACTCGCCACATTTGTATAACCCGGACGAATTTAAAGTCACGAAATGCAATTATTACACCGGATTTTTTTCCCTTGGAAATATTGAGATTTCGAGCATGAAAAATCGAATTAAAAGCCGGAATTTAAAGTTTCGCAAAGTTTGTTTGAAAGAAACTTAGGTACTTGCCAAAGCACATATCATAAAGATTCCCAAACTGCGCATTTCGACCCCAAGAAATAACTTTGCTACAATCCGAGATATTGCTTTAGGACAGAGTTTAGGTCTCAATAATATCTCCTAAGGGAGGAGTCCCGTCTTTAAACGCAACTAGTTAACTTGTTTTGTGCAAATTTAATTGATTTTTTCGGCGTTAAATTTTTTACTAGTAATAAAAACTCCTCACAAATTCCTCCAAACTTTATAATTAACAAAGTTGATTAAAATTTTTATCATTCCAGACACTAGAATTTAGTCAGTCCTTGACTTATTAAAAACAAACAGCTCTCCGAAATTAAAAAAGACTTTAGTTTAAGCTCTTACCCTTTCAACCCCTGTATTCGTAAATGGAATTTTAAACAGTAAACAAGGGTTTGTTGTTGCAAAATAATCGACCCACCTCTTTCCATCCGACCAGGGGAGGAAAACAAATCACAAAACTGAGCACCCATAAGCCGGCGATTAAAAGCTTGGCTCTGGATGGGGACATGATGCTGGGGTATGTGATGGGACGCGTCACGGCGACATAACGGTCCAGGGATATGGCACACAGATTGAGAATGGACGCTGTGCACATCCAGACATCCAAAGCCAGCCACATGTTGCACCAAACGTCGCCAAATATCCAGACCTGGAAATTATTAAAGAATTTTAGTTCTAAATATATTGTATCTTTTTGGTGTTTGCGACCGATTTTTACCAAATGTTTCGTACTGCGTCCCCCTTCCTAAGTAACTAAGAAAAGCAAAAACGAGTAAAACGGTGATTTATTTTAATTAAAATGAATGAATATAGCAAAATCTTATTGTCGCATGTTTAAACATGTTTACATTGCAGAGACAATAGAAAGAAACTTTTGCAAGTCAGATAGTGCAAGGTTTAGAAGAGAGTAAGCGGCAAAGCCGCGAGCCCCCTTTAAACTTTGAGTCTTTTTCCAGACTCAGATTTTTTAATTTAATAATTTATTTAGAATTTTTTTTTCAAAATTATGATTTTTATCTTTCCTTTGTTCTAAACTTTTAAATAGTTAAACCTTAAAACAAAAAAAGCACAGTTTTTATTTTTTATAATGAATCTTTTCCTAGAGATGTTAGAAATTATAAAAATGTTACTTTTTATTTTCACAGAGTATAGGAAAACAAGTTAGAAAAACATAAAAAAGGTGTCATTTTAAAATTTTCTACCAATTTTGGTCGATTTTAAACATTTTTTTTTTCAAAGAAACAATAATTTCAAAAAATCAATACAGAATAAACTAGACAAATGAAAGATTTTAAAGTCAACACAAATAATGATTTCTTATTACGGTGAAAGCCTTAGAAAAAAATAAAAATCTGATAGTGTGAAGTCAAGAAGAGAGCAAGCGGCAAAGCCGCGAGTCCCCTTTAAATTTTGCCAAATGCTGATAGTGTGAGTTTCACTTTTCACTATTTTGACAAGACATTTGCGAATCAGATAGTGTGAAATGTCGACAAAATCTGAAAGTGTGAGTTCTAATTTCTTATTKCTGTAAAAAACTTCAAAAATTAAAAGTTTTCGTAATTTGAGATTAACAAATCGTGCATCCACTGATTCAATGTTTTCCAAAGTTGCCAACTTAGTTGTCACTTTGAAATTTCATTAGTTCTTTAATAAATCATAAACTCTTCAATTTACTATGTGGGAAAAAAAACTGAAAAAAAGCACAAAACCGTGTTTTTGCACCAAACGTCACCAAATATCCAGACCTGAAAATTATTAAAGAAACTCTAATTAATTCCAGAAAAAAAATGTGCATTTTTTTATAGTTCGGTACCCATTACTATTTTTATTTTATCACATTTTACTGTTTAATTAGGTATATTTCATGATTCTAAATAATTTGTATCCTGAACGGTGCGACCGATTTTTACCAAATGTTTCGTGCTGCGTCCCCCTCCTAAGTAACTAAGGAAAGCAAAACGAGTAAAATGGTGATTTATTTTAATAAAAATGAATGAATTTAGCAAAATCTTATTGTCGCGTGTTTAAACATGTTTACATTGCAGAGACAATAGAAAAAAACCTTTGCAAGTCAGATAGTGCAAGGTTTAGAAGAGAGTAAGCGGCAAAGCCGTGAGTCCCCTTTAAACTTTGAGTCTTTTTCCAGACTCAGATTTTTTAATT